GCTAGCTGTGTCTGCCAAGGCTACCTCCCTGGATGAGCCCTCCAGCAGCTCCAATACCAGCATCCAGAGTGACAACTCTGAGTAGGGAGTGGACGGCTGAGGACCGGGACAGGGGCCTTACCCAGGTGGCCTGGGCTAGTTCCTGTTCTGGGTGCCCACTGGACTTCTCTGCCCCACGTCTCAACAAAGAACCTTTTTAACCAGAGGAATCTAAACTGTCAAAGCAGGGAACTTCTTTTATATACTGAGCCCTGGTAACTGGAATAATGTAATGGTCAGAGGCACAAACTTTGGCCTTCAGTTATGTCTTTGGTCAAGTTCCTGAACTTCTGAGGCTTTTATCTTCATTTGTATGATGGATGTCTTGATAACTTAGACCTTCCATGGGTGAGATAATGTCTGTATAGCACTTACAATGTGCCAGGCCCAGTGCTAAGCGTGCAGATACTGTTTAGGGTAGGCCCCTTAGAAAAAACAAGTTGCCTCTGCTCTCACGACATATCAGTCAACACCAGAAGACTTCTATGACCAAACATGTGCGTTTTCTCCCCACACACCAAACAGCCAACACCAGCTGGGTGTCCTCTAATTCAGTTCAATTCTGATACCATCTACCTGCAGGTAGTGTCAGATCCCACAGCTTGAGGGCTCAGTCCTACAAGACTGCCCCCTACTTTCCATACCAATTAGAAGCCCTGGGTTTTACCTGTGCTTCTGTTGGACCATTATTTATTTATTTGGAGGCAGAGACTTGCTCTATTGCCCAGGCTAGAGTGCTACGGCGTCAGCCTAGCTCACAGCAACCTCAAACTCCTGGGCTCAAGCGATCCTCCTGCCTCAGCCTCCTGAGTATCTGGGACTACAGGCACGCACCACCAAGCCTGGCTAGTTTTTTTCTATATACTTTTAGTTGTCCAGCTAATTTCTTTCTATTGTTTTTAGTAGAGACGGGGCCGCTCTTGCTAAGGCTAGTCTCGAACTCCTGACCTCAAGTGATCTCCCGCCTTGGCCTCCCAGAGTGCTAGGATTACAGGCATGAGCCACTGTGCCTGGCCTGATGGACCATTTATTAATTGGGGTTCCCATGAATCATTCCTTGGGTTTGATTAATTTGTTAGAATGGTTCATAGAACTTAGGGAAACACTTACGCTTACCAGTTTATTATAAAGGATATTACAAAGGATACAGATGAAGAGATACATAGGATGAGGTATGGGGGAGCGGTATGGAGCTTCCATGCCCTCCCTGGGTGTGCCACCCTCCAGGGACTATGACATGTTCAGCTTTCTATAAGCTCTCTAAACCCTATCTTTATTGGTTTGTTTTTTGTGGAGTTTTACTTACGTAGGCACAATTTATTAAATCATTGACCATTGTTGATCGGTTTAACCTTGGGGCTGGGTGACATGGCTCAGGCCTGTAATCTTAACACTTTGGGAGGCTGAGGTGGGAGGATTGCTTGAGGCCAGGAGTTTGAGATTGCCATGAGCTTTGAGCACGCCACTGTGTCAGGCTCCTGCAAAAGAGAAAGACCCTGTTTGTAAAAAAAAAAAAAAAAAAATTTTTTTTTCTTCAGTCCCTCTCCCCTTCTGGGAGGTTGGGAGGTGGGCTGAAAATCCCAACCCTCTAATCCTACTTTGGTCTTTCTGGTGAGCAGCCCCCATCATGAAGCTAGCCAGGGCTTTCAGCCATCAACTCAATTAGCATACAAAAAGACATCACTTAGGAGATTCCAAGACCAAATATATATTTCACAATATCACAGCCCCCCTCACCTGGGGGAACAGTACCGGTACCAGCCTTAGCTTCCCAGGGATCAATCTTTTCCTGGCTTGGCTAGGCAGGGGGTGGGAAGGGGTAGGAGAAGGGGACTCCTTGAATCAGTGTCTGGGCATAGAAGACTTCCCCACCAGAGATGGTGAAGTTGAGAGCAAAGAGGAAGGTAAACCGTTTAGCCCACTTCACCTCACAGAGATTCTGAAAGTTTTGTTTTGTCTGAATTGTTGCCATTCTCAGGAACTCAGGCCCCGCTGCCTTCTTGGAGCAGCATGCTACCTTGGTGCTACATGCTACCACCATCTTTTTCCCTTCAGCTACCCACCTCAACCCCCTCCCATCTGTTAATAGAACAATTTACTCTGTCTATGCCAAGGCTGGCATTTTCTCAGACTCTGCTGTGTTTTCACAAAACAGTTATTATTTCCCCCTTTCTTGACCCTGGCTAAGCCTGACAGTGTACCCTCCTGGAAAGCTGCCACCAGCATTTTCAGAGGCCATTTCTGTAGTACAGACCATTCAGATTCCAGACTAGCTCCTGGGGGCTCAGGTGAGGGGTAGAGGGAGGTTTGTCCTGCCATCTGGTAGGGAGGGCATGGTACCCAGCTGCTCTCAAGGTGGAGTTTTCTGAGGCAGGGGCAATGCCCCCAAGGCATTTTTTTTTCTACTTTTTTTTTTTTATTTCGGCATATTATGGGGGTATAGATCATTTTTTTTTTTTTTAAATCATGTTAGTTACCTATACAGCAGTTACTGGGCTCTACCCAGTCCCCAGATGTCACCCTGAGAATATAGCAGATGCAGACACAGATCTCTTTTCAAGGAACACAGAATCAGCTGGGGACAAGGAAACAAAATAAGGCAGGATGGTCAAGTCTAGCTGTGGGGACTGCTGTAGGTCCCTGGTTTGCAGCTTTTTGGGGTCCTGAATGGGAGAACAGACTCTTCTCCCTTTTCAGAAATGTGCATATGCACACTCACTTCTGCATCCAATTTCAGGGGTCCTCAGATCTGAGGTCTACTATGGATCTCTTCTCTACCCACGGGCTGCAAGGTTCCCCAAGCCCTTGAAGAATCTGAGAGGCAAAAGTCCACCTTACTCTTTCTGTAGGATTGTCTGCCCCGCCGCCAGAGGGTTTATGGAGAAAGGAAATCTTGCCGTGGACTTTGTAGGTGGGGTGAGTGAGTCCAAGGGTATAAGCTAGTCTAGTCCTTCCCTTCAGGTTGAGGGTCAGACGAAGAGTAAGTGCCTTCGCTTTCCTAACCCTTGGTCCAGGACTAGGTCCAAAGCGTGCTTTACTCAATTAAGACAGGCTGCTGTGTGGACATAGACAACAGATACACAACCATGCTCTCGGACACAGACACTCATCAGAAGTACGTACGCATACATAGGCTCTACAGAGGTACGTACTGGTTACGAACACACAGACACAAAAAATACACAGATGTAAAAGCACAAAGACAAGCAGCTACACCCAATCAACGAACCAAGGGACATAAATTCAGACTCACTAGATGGCAAACCCTCACAGCCTCACTGACACTCACGCCGGGGGCGGGGCCGAAAAGGGGCGGGACCTCCCAGGTCGAGGCGGGGGTCAAGGGTCAGAAGGCGGAGGCGCGCCCAAGATGGCGGCCTCCATGTGCGACGTGTTCTCTTTCTGCGTGGGCGTGGCGGGCAGGGCCAGGGTCTCAGTGGAAGTCCGTTTCGTGAGCAGCGCCAAGGTGAGGCCGAGGCGGATCCGGCCGGGGGCCCCAACCGCGTTCGGCATCGGAGGTAGCCCCGCGGGACCCCAAGGCCGGAGCCTGGAAGCTCCTGTGCCGCTTGGACGCTGCGGCTCGGCCCCTGCTCGCGGCCCGGGGACTCCCAGTGTGTCCCCACGCGCAGGCTCCTGGCGCGGTCACGCGGTGGACCTGGGCTCTACAGTCTCCTTGCGCTTCCCCTCCTGGCGCAACCCGACCCGTTGGGCTGAGGCCCTGCTGTGCCTGCTGGGGTCGGGGTTAGGGGGTCCCGGGCCTCCTGGCCCGGGGTAGAGGCTTTGCTACTGGGCTCCTGGAACCGTGGGTAGGGACGTGCTAGATAGGGATAACTGAGGTATCAAAAAGCTTGGGTCCTCTGGGAACTTTCTGAGTGAGATTGGGTGTGGGAATGAGGCGAGAGGCCAGGGCCCTTCACGAAGGGCGTTGGAGTGCTAAGAAATTTGGACCAGAACCCCAAGGCCATGAGAACATTTGAAGGGTTTTTAATAAGAAAGTGAAATGGTTTTGTCATTTTATTGCTGTGTCTTAAAAGTTCACTGTGGAAAAAAATAGAAAATGCATGTAGGGAAAGAAAGGATAAAAATCACTCATAATTTTATACTTGTGCAAATATGTGTATATTAAAATTACATTTTTAGGAGCAGCATTTTGATGCAGCAGTGAATCTTTCAATGTTAATAAACATACTTCTACATGTTAATTTTTAAGAACTGAACATAATAGTCTCTTCCATGGGAGGGAACTAATGGAAGTTATTAATGGGCCCTTTATTGTTACTTATTTTTCATCCCTGGGGTCAAAGGTCTTAGAGTTCATTTTCTGTGCAGACATCCTTTTGTTCTCTCTTGCATTGTTTTCTTTCCTAGTTATCTTTGCAAATTGACGTGTGCAAAATGGTATTGCTTTGTTCTTATTTATGTTTCTTTGGTTACTAGTGAGGATGAATAATTTATTATTTGTAGTGGCTGTGTGTATCCTTGGTCCTTGCCCAAGATGTTAGCCCTCTAGTCATCTGTCACTTGCTGTCAGCATTATCATATTGATCCAGTTTCTCAACCCAGCCTTCCTTTGCTTTCTTTCTGTTCCAGATGCATCTGGAGCACTCCTGTCCTTCCCAGTAAGTCAGCTCCCCTACATCCTTGGTCTCCTTATCTGCTCTTATCTCCATCTCTACCCAGAACCTCTAGTGCTCATGGGTGGCCTGCAATGGTGAGGTGGCTCATGCCTGTAATATTGGCATTTTGGGAGGCCAAGGAGGATTGCTTGAGGTCAGAAGTTGGAAACCAGCCTGAGCAAGAGTGAGACCTGTCTCTACTAAAAATAGAAAAGAATTAGCCGTACGTGGTGGTGTATGCTTGTAGTCCTACCCATTCTGGAGGCTGAGGCAGGAGGATCACATGAGCTCAGGAGTTTGAGGTTGCAGTGAGCTATGAACATACCATTGCACTCTAGCCCAGGTGACAGAGACAGACCCTGTCTCAAAAAAAAAAAAAATACTGCATAGTCTTAGAATTTTTCATGATCTTTTCTTAAAATTTCCTTTTCAAATTGGAAATATGTTTGTATGGTTGGTTTCCATTAAAGTTCAGTGCTCTCCAGGCTTCTTGATGTTATGAATTAGAGCTGTTTTTCTTGAAATACTTTCATTTGTTTTGGAAATGAGTGGCTTTATAAAGGAACAACACTGATTCTTTTCCTTTGGTTTGATTACTAAATATTTTCTGTATTTGGTCCTCCAGAAAGAAGGAGAGGGAGATCGAGATTTGAGATTGTCAGAGATTAAGTGGGTCTCTGTTCATATCATTTTATCCCATAGAGGAAGGCCAAGTTTTCATTTTGCTAGATTGGGTCCCAGGGCTACAAGGCACAGAAGGGCTTCCAGGAAGACGGTCAAGGGTGTGTCTGTGGCTTTGCCCCATGGTTTTGTTTCACCTGTTCCATTCTGTTAAGAAGAGCTTCCATAGTTTTCCATAGGGTTGAGATTTGTGGCTTATGGGCTGTTCAAGGCTGTCCTGGTCCACACATTCCTGCCACTCTGAATTTTGGAGGCACCCCTGTCAGGCCAGAGCAGTAGTGCTAGAAGGAAGTAGGGAGGCTACAGTGACAGGACCTTTCACTGCTGTGTCAAGCATTTTTTTCCTTTCCCTTGGTCGTGGCAGCTCAGTGTTGGCAGAGCACCAATCCTCGTCTCTAAGTGAGTAAGGGGAGTAAGTGTTCAGCAAGGCCAATAGCTGCCTAGGTTCTGAAGCCATCTCCTGAGTCCTTTTGCACATTTGAGAGATGGCAATTCAGAGGTTGTTTTCTCCTCCTTCATCGTTTACATGATGTATATAGTATTTTAGGTCAGTGCTTCTCAAACTTTAACGTGCATGAATCATGTGAGAATCTTGTCAAAATGCAGATTCTGATTCAGCAGGTCTGGGGTGGGGCCCGAGATTCTGCGTTTCTAACAATGTCCCAGGTGATGCCTATGCTACCAGTCCATGCATCTCACACTGAGTAGTAAGGAAGTAGAGCTAGCTCATGAGATTCATTCATCAGTGCTATATATCATTGCATCCTGCAAACTACCTGGTCAGTGTTATTATAATATTCATTTTTCATATGGGAAACAGATGCAAAGAAGTGAAGCAACTGGTTCAAATGTTCACAGCAAGTTAACAATAGAACTGGTGCTAGGATTAGCTCATTTCTTTCAGTGTAACCCCTGAGCAGTGCTAGGTGCTGTAGGTACCCAGCTAACCGAGGAAGAGGGCACATTTTTCCCCAAACTCAGCCTCCCTCTTCCATGGTGTAGGAGTTTTCTGCAACCCTGAGCAGCAGTACTACTGCTAGGATCCTGGAGAGGCACACGGGTGACTCAGGGAAGCCTGCTCTGCTATTAGCAGCCTCTGGTACAGGAGGCTCCAGCCTGCTATGAGCCTTGGCCCTACTCTGGCCATCCTAAAAATTCTCCTCCTCTGAGTAATCTGAGATGGCTGCTGTGGTGGTTTCTGCCCTGTCCCAGGCCTTCTGCTGAAAGAGGTGCAACTGGAAGTAAGTCAGAGCTGCATTTCCAGAGGAGGCAGTTATGGAGGGTGCTGACCACTCTCCATGTGCCCTCAGAGATAGAGGCCTCTGCTAAGAAGGAGGTATGTCAGGGTGAGGCAGAACAGCCTCTTCAGAGCTCCTGGAGGTATGTCTTCTGTCCCTTCTTATGGCCATCCTCTTCCCTCTCTACCCTCTTAGGGAAAGGGGCTGTTTGCCACACAGCTGATCCAGAAAGGGGAGACCATCTTCGTAGAACGGCCCCTGGTGGCTGCGCAATTTCTGTGGAATGCACTTTATCGCTACCGAGGTGAGCACATCTTGCCTACTCCTCATGCTGCTGGGCCCAGCTGCCTTTGTGCACAGAAGAGAGTATATGTCCCTACTGGTCGATGTCTCCAAGACTCCAGGTTTTGGGAGGAAATGCTGTCTCCCTTTGGAGAACTCTACCTCTGTCTAATTTCAATTGTTTGGGGCTGTGTGCCTGCAGTAGCAGGCTCTTCTGACATGCTTCCCAGGAGAGGATGTCACTCAGGCAGGACTCAGAGTCTGGCCCCATAGTATGAGGGACTGGACATCATGGTGAAGGGCTCTGTGCCAAAGTGGAGCCCTCCACCAAGAGGAGGCCACATGGCATTTGTTCAGAGAAGGCTGAGTTAGGAATCTAAAGCCAGTAGGATGCTCTTAGCTTTGCTGGCCATATGCTTTTTTCACACTTTTCTTAAGCTAGAGACACACCATGAAAAGAGGGTCAGTTGGCTGCAGAGGATGAGGAAAGCTCAGTCTGGAGGATAATGGGGGGAGCCCCACAGAGTGGACCTGATTGAGAAGCAGGGAGAGTCAGACAGTAGGGACTAGGGAGTCTTTGAGAGGGAGGAGGATCATCCACCTTTGGATGCATGTAAAATTCATTCATTCATTCTAATCATTAATGTAATCATTCATTCACTTCCCAAACTTTTATGGAGCACTCGCTGTGTGCGGGGCACCATTCTAGCCCTATAGATACTAGAATGTATCTGTGAAAAGGATAGATGTGGCCCCTGCTGTCGAGACACTTATATTGTCATGTCTGGCTCTCACCCTCAGCCTGTGACCACTGCCTTCGGGCACTGGAGAAGGCTGAGGAGAACGCCCAGAGGCTGACTGGGAAACCAGGCCAGGTTTTGCCTCACCCAGAGCTGTGCACTGTGCGCAAGGACCTCCATCAGAACTGTCCCCACTGCCAGGTGAGCATGTCTGGGGAATTTACCTGAAAGGGGGTGGGCCTCAGCTGAAATCCTCATTGGAGAGACGAACAAAGACAGACCTGGTCACGGCCCTTGAAAGCTGCAATGTAGGGGAAAGACATTGAAAAGGCCTGGTTATTGTTACAGTTTCATCTTTCCTGTCCCAGTTCCATTGTCTAGAAAATGGGCTTCCTGGGAGCTTGCCTTTTTCTGAGGGCCTCACAGGGGCTCTCCTCTCTACCTGAAAAGTTCTCTTTCCTTTCTGTGGTTTTACAAGCCTAGGTTAGGCGCGCTTTGCACATGGCCCCAGAGCACCCTATGTTTTCTCATCTCGTAATACCTCTGAGCTATGGCGTAGGGGCTCTGTGTGGAAGAAATGCAGTTAGAAGAAGTGAGTATCATATGGGATGTCTGTGCTTTGCTCCCCTCACCCCATGGCCATATCCTGGGCCGCTGACTTCACCCCACCTAACAGGTGATGTACTGCAGTGCAGAATGTCGGCTGGCAGCTGCTGAGCAATACCACCAGGTCCTGTGCCCCGGCCCCTCCCAGGATGACCCTCTGCATCCTCTCAATAAGCTGCAGGAGGCGTGGAGGTAGGTCTTTTTTCCTCTCTTCTTTCCTTTATCCTTCCCTCCCTGCTTGCCTTCGTGGGCTCAGCAGGTGTTGCCATCTTTCTTAAGTTACTGTACCCCATACTTTCTCTCCGTTTTTAGGGTTAAATAGAAGTCACATCTCCCAACCTCCTGCCTTTAATCTGGGCTGCCAGTCCTGCTGTCCTCAGCATTTTACACACTCCCAGAAAGAGCCCCATTAAGCCCAGGGACATGCCAAGTCCTGCCTGAGTCCCTCCTGTGACTTTCTCGCTTTGTAATAAATGGAATTGGTGGGAAGGTTTCTCTGTACCAGTCAGACTGGGTTGCCCTGGGCTCAGCTACTGAGGAAGGAATTTCTAGGCAAAACTTTTTTTCTCTTTCCCAGGAGTGTTCATTACCCCCCTGAGACAGCAAGCATCATGCTGATGGCCCGGATGGTGGCCACAGTGAAGCAGGTGAGCCACCTGATGCTCCTGGGGAGCTGGCTTTGGCCCTATTCAACCCTTGGTCTTGGTCTCTTTCTCAATTCAGCGCCCTATCTTGGATGCAGAATTCTTCCTGGCCTTCACAAAAGAGAGTTGCTTATTATGTAAAACCTTAGGAGTATGCTCGACCTAAATCAGGCGTGGGGAGTAGGGGAGCAGGGACTCATTTGGACTTTGATGTACAAGATGTCTTGGGTGGCAGCACCTATGCATTCAATATATAAGCACTTTTTCAGGATTGCATCTTATCTGAGAGTGAGAGAAGGCACTCCAGTATTAACCTTCTGTTAATACTGTTAATCAGTGTCATTCTCCTGTTTTTCCAAGTGTTGTTGAACTGGTTAGCTCAGCTCCATCTGGGGAATTGGTAGGGGGTGGGCAGCATGGGGCGAAGCCTCAGGCAGAGGAAGGGCCCCTGAAAGCTCAGGTGTGGTGGGATTTCCCTGATGGCAGGGGCTTTTGAAACAAGCTGCCCCTCCCACGTGGGTTGGAGTGCCAGTGATAAGGTGGGTGTCCATGACCCTTAAGTATATCTGTTCACTGCAGGCTAAGGATAAGGACCGTTGGATCAGGCTCTTCTCCCAGTTCTGTAACAAAACGGCCAATGAGGAGGAGGAAATTGTCCACAAACTTCTGGGGGACAAATTCAAGGTTAGTCTTTTCTGATGACCCATCTCCCTGTTGCCCTGCCTTCCCCAAATAGCTTAGGATGTCTGTGGCTACCTGTGGGGAGTTCCACATTTGATCCCTTCCCAGCTATAGGAATGGGTTAGAACCTGTGCCCAAACTCACTGAGAGACATTCTGGCCACTGTTTAACTTCATGACCCAATATGGCCCTATAGTTGGAAAGTGGGAAAGTAGGGTGGTGACAGAGGAAGAACCCTCTGCCCTGAAAGCACTCTGTACATGTTGTGGAAAGGCAGAACTCCCATCAGGCTAGAGCAGTGGGCACATCAGGTAGGATGGAGGGTTGGGGTCCACAGAGTCAAAGAGTAGCGTGAAACTGCCTATGTACTGAGTGCCCATTCCCAATCAGAGTACTGATTCTCACTGAGGACAGCAGACTTCCACACAGGAGCTACCTGAGGGTGAAGGCAGGATGCATCTAGGGTGGGCCCTTCTGTGTTGAATTCAGTGGAAAGGAAAGGGAGAGCCTACTGGTCTGGAGCTAAGTCAGGAGAGCTTTGAGGATGGTGATGAGGACAGATGTTCTAAGCCAGGCTGCCTCAGCCTTATTGGTATAAGTGCTGGAAAATGAGGAAAAATTTTGGCTGGGAGCAGGCCAGTGGACTGCCAAAACTCTTTGGAAATAGGAGTCTGCGGCCTTCCTTTGCCCTCAGGGAAAGCTCAGTCTATAGAGCTGGCCCTTTTTTCTTCCCTCTCCTGGTCTTCTGGGCCCTGGCTGGGTACTAATGGGAAATCCCAGGGATGCAAGTCTCTCCCTGCTTCCCCTAAACCAGGGCCAACTGGACCTTCTGCGGAGACTCTTCACAGAGGCCCTTTATGAGGAAACACTCAGCCAGGTGAGTGGAGTGGGGGCAGGAACAAGGGCAGCCTTGTCACTCTAGTTCTCTATGAGCACCTGGGTCAGCATCTCCTCCTGGGGCAGCTAAGCCAAAGCCAGCTTGGTCTTCTAGAGTTGGGATGGGCCTGACTCACAGAAGACTTCCTGAACAGTCGTGTTAGGAAGAAAAGCAAGTGGCTATAACCTGAGCACTCATCTCCTTTCTTTCTCCCCCACAGTGGTTCACTCCAGATGGATTCCGATCTCTCTTTGCTCTCGTTGGGACCAATGGCCAAGGAATTGGGACTAGGTTAGGAGAGAATATTCCAGAGCTATTGGATTTATCTCTCAGGGATTGGGTGGGAGATTGATTGAGGAAGGTAGCCACAGTGTCTCTCAAGACTGGGGTAAGGTAGGGTGTGACTCTGTGGCTAGAGGGCTGAACTGGATGCAGTGGTGGGGAGTCAGAAAGAATGAGGCAGTGGAGTCTGCTCTTGGGAGCCTTGGACTGTTAGGGAAGATGGGACCCCTACCCTGGAGAAAAAAGGGGCAGGGGTGGGAGACTCTTCTTCCTGGGCTTAACCTGCCTGGAGGTGGAGAGCTCTGTGACCTGGGCTTCCTCCTCTCCATCCACGGGCCGCCTGGGACCCCCAGCTCCCTGAGTCAGTGGGTCCATGCCTGTGACGCTCTGGAGCTGAAGCCTCAGGACCGTGAGCAGCTGGATGCTTTCATTGACCAGCTGTACAAGGACATCGAGGCAGGTTGGTGAGATGGGGCCTTGGCCTCACCCAACCTTAGAGAACCCCCAGGCAGATGGGGGACACCTAGTCTGTCCCCAGGGTACTCTGAGTTAATGGGGGCTTGGGGTGGAAGGTAATCCCTATGTGCCTGTGTGGAGCTTCAGATCTGTCCACAGGACACACAGTGAGAGATGGCCCCATGGTCCATCCAGAAGCTCGATGCTGGGAGGAGGGGCAGTGCTGGAAAATAGGGTGATGTCATAGACAGAAAAGCAAGGTTTGTGTCTCAGAGAAGCAAGTTTAGGTAAAGTAGTAGGGACTGGGTGCAATAGTGTGGTGGGGTGGCAGGACAGTAGAGCCAGTGCCTGTCCTTATGAGCCTAGTTTCTTTTTCCCACCTGTAAAATGGGTAGAATAATGTCTGCATATTACTGTCTTACAGCAACCGGCGAGTTTCTTAACTGTGAAGGATCTGGTCTCTTTGTGCTTCAGAGCTGCTGTGAGTTATGGCATTGAGGAGGGATGGTCTCAGGTGTTTCTGCCTTTGCCAGGTGGCCTCACAGACACAATTCATCTTTCTCAGTGGCCCTTTGTAGGCTGGTAGGGTTGAGTCTGAGGGTTAAGTCTGAGCTTCCTAGGGAATTACCCTGAGCCTTTTGGTTCCATTATTTTTTATTTATTTATTTATTTATTTTTTTGAGACAGAGTCTCACTTTGTTGCCCAGGCTAGAGTGAGTGCCATGGAGTTAGCCTAGCTCACAGTAACCTCAAACTCCTGGGCTCAAGCAATCCTGCTGCCTCAGCCTCCCAAGTAGCTGGGACTACAGGCATGCGCCACCATGCCCGGCTAATTTTTTCTATATGTATTAGTTGGTCAATTAATTTCTTTCTGTTTATAGTAGAGACGGGGTCTCGCTCTTGCTCAGGCTGGTTTCGAACTCCTGACCTCGAGCAATCCACCCGCCTAGGCCTCCCAGAGTGCTATGGTTCCATTATTGTTTCATTCATTCATCCAGCTGCTCGTGCTTTAATATATGCTTATATGTAAAACTTTTGGCCAGGCTTGGTGGCTCACACTTGTAATCTTAGCACTCTGGGAGGTCGAGGTGGGCAGATTGCCTGAGGTCAGGAGTTTGAAACCAGCCTGAGCAAGAGTGAGACCCTGTCTCTACTAAAAAAAACAGAAAGAAATTAGCCGGACAACTAAAAATATATAGAAAAAGTTACCTGGGCATGGTGGCACATGCCTGTAGTGCCAGCTACTCAGGAGGCTAAGGCAGGAGGATCACTTGAGCCCAGGAGTTTGAGGTTGCTGTGAGCCAGGCTGATGCCATGGCACTCTAGACCTGGGCAACAGAGTGAGACATTGTCTCAAAAAAACAAAAACAAAAAAACCCCCACTTTACAGAGGGCCAGGCCCTGTGCGAAGGCAGGCACAGAGCTCTGATTCTTGCAAAGTGATGCCTGGACTTTCCACCATCACTGTCCTGTGAGATTTGATAGGTAGTATTGGGAGAGCCGGAGAGGCCCTCAGGATCCTGGGAAGAGGGAGTTCAGACCAGAAGGCAGGTCTCACCAAGCACCTGATGGAGAGGAGGAATCACTCAGACAACTATCTTTTCCAGAGCTCAGCCTCCCGCCCTCTAGTTTCTTCCCTGCAAACTCCGCCCAGGCTCCAGTGCCACTCTACCCTTACCAAACTGGGTTCTCAGGGGGCCTGAGTCAGCCATTACCAGATATCCAATAAGCAGAGACAGAACTGAGTTCAGTGGTCTGGTGTAGGCATCCCTCCAGAGCCCTGTCCGTCCATTTGTGAGACAATGGGAATGCAACTGAGAACGAAGTTAGCCAATCATGAGAGGCTGGAATGGGGAGTGATGTGGGAGTGCATTCATGCCTGGGCTCTGTGGCCTTCAAGAAAGAGCACTGGTTGGGGAGTCAGGAAACTTGGGTTCTAGTATCTGTTCAGCCCTGGCAGGGATAAGAGACCACGAGAGAATGGGACCCATTGCTTTGCAGAGTTGAGGCTATTACTTTCAATAATCCTCATTATCTGCATCTTGTGACCCAGGCAACCACAGCTGTGTTCCCAATGCAGAGACCTCCTTCCCAGAAAACAACTTCCTTTTGCATGTCACCGCCCTGGAGGATATTAAGCCAGGAGAGGTGAGGGGTTCTAGGAGCTGTGAGGGGTTGGGTGGGCAGTGGGACTTGAAAGTTATCCCCAAGGATTAGGGGCAGCAGTGGCTAGAGCCCCTTAAAGTTCAGGCTGTTGGGTTGGGTTCCCACGTGCCCCAGGCCTGAGTCTTTCAGCCCTGCAGTCCCTAACCCCCAGGCTGTGGACTGGTACTGTTTAGGTTCGTGGCCTATTAGGAATTGGGCTGCACAGCAGGAGGGGTAATCGAGTGAAGCTTCATCTGTATGTACAGCTGCTCCCTATCACTTGAATCAGTGAATAAGCTCCACCTCCTGTCAGATCAGTGGTGGCATTAGATTCTCATAGGAGCAGGAACCCTGTCATAAACTGCATATGCGAGGGATCTAGGTTGTACGCTCCTTATGAGAATCTAATGCCTGATGATCTGAGGCGGAGCTGAGGAGGTGATGCTATTGCTGGCAAGCAGCAGCAAATACAGATTATCATTAGCAGAGAGGTCTGACTGCACAATAAATGTAATGTGCTTGAATTATCCTGACTGTACCCCCGCGTCTATGGAAAAATTGTCTTCCATGAAATCAGTCCCTGGTGCCAAAAAGGTTGGGGACTACTGTTTTAGCCCATGGCTATGTTATAACCCTACTCTCCTTCTTCAAAATGTAACTCCAGAATGCCTCAGAGCAGTGTTTGAGGGACAGCTGCTTGTCTAGGTTCTTATCTCTAGCTACATTTTGGTTAACAAATCTGCAGTTTCTAGGAAAGCAGGAGATAGCTCTTTGTGGCTTGGGCCTTGGCAGGCTAGTGTTGGTTTGGGATCTTGGCTGTTAGTACAGTGCACAAAGCCTGGCTGAATTTCCCTCCAGAGCAGGTAGCATCACACCAAGACAACTTCTGATCCTAGCCACAGACATTGGCCATTGGCTGGCTTTCACCATGTCCTGAGGCTAACCGCAGTCTCCTCTCTGTCTCAGACATAGATTAGGACACAGGAGCCTTATGGTGGCCTGCCTGCTGAAGGCACAGGGGACTGGATCAGGGCAGCCCACCTGTTCACTGAAGAGCAGCTCAGGCCTGACTCCTGAAGATGGGGCAGTGGTTGGAGAGAGGGCAGGTGTTGGGGGAGGACTTTGTCCCATCTAATACAGAGTGCAGACCATCAGACCCCACTTCTCCTCTCCCCTACAGGAAATTTGTATCAGCTACTTAGACTGCTGTCAGCGGGAACGCAGCCGCCACAGCCGCCACAAGATCCTCAGGTGCAAGCAGGGAATGTGGTTGGGCAGCTGGGCTCTGGGTCCTCCGTCCCAGCCTGACTTTTCCCCCTCCCCCTCATTCTACCTCTGCAGGGAGAACTATCTGTTTATCTGTTCCTGTCCCAAATGCCTGGCAGAGGCTGATGAACCCAATGTGACCTCAGAGGAGGAAGAGGAAGAGGAGGAAGAAGGAGAGCCGGAAGATGCAGAGCTAGGGGATGAGATGACTGATGTGTGATGTTGCTGTAGCTGGAAGGAGCTCTGCCCCAGACCTTGCCGGAAAAGGGGGCCCTTCCCGCAGAGAAGAGGCTTGGAAGGAATTCCTCACTCCCATTGCCTGCTTTCCCCTGTTCCAGCTCTCCCTGCCAGAGGGTAGGATAGAGGCTGGACCCCAGGCCCCCAACTCCCACCAGACCTTATGCCCTGTACACTGCTGCTGAGTTGGCTTATGCTGTGCACTGTCACTGAGCCTTTCAGAACCAGCCTCCCCTGAGCTCACTCCATGCTAGGGTTGGAGGGGCTGGAACCCGGGTCAGGGCCTAACAGTGTTTCCTCCCCTTGGCCCTACGGCCCACATTCACCCATCCACCTGAGGCTTCTCCCTTCTCAACTTGCCATTGATTCCTTTTGAGGGGGTAACAATATGGCAAATCGAAGGGCAGAACAATTTTATTGAAGCAGAAAGGGGTGGTAGTAAGGTGTCCTCACCTACTTCCGTACCTCCCACTTGCGACAGTTGTAGCTTATAAGGCTACTGCTTGACCACGAGCCCAGTGAGGAGAGGCAGGCAGAAGGATCTGGCCTCCTAAGCCTTCCCTAAGGCTGTCTAGTTGGGAACACTGGATCAGGGGAATGACTTCCCCCTTTCCCTCTCCACTCCCACCATTTGGACATCTGGGGAAGTAGAAATTAACCCCTTCCCCAGACTCCAGAATTTCTGTCCCCTGTGCCTTGCCCCTCAGGCCCTGGCACAGTGGATGGCCCTGTGGGGTAGGAAGAAGCCTCTACCTTGCTCAGGAGGGGAATGTGGGGGCTCATTACTCTCTCTCACACCTTCTTCCCACTGAGCACTCTAGTATCATGGCTGAGACTTGGGGGTTGACAGGCCTGTGCTCCTTAATTTAGGATGCTCTAGTCTTCCCTGGGGTCAGTTAAAATGGGTCAGTAAGAGGCTCTCCTGGCCTCAGTCTCCATCTTTAGGGTGTCCACAGAAGAACATTGAAGTCTTCCAGACACCTAGAGGAACTGGGCTAGAGATTAGCCCTGACTGTGTCCCCTCCTTGCCCTGGATCAGCACCACCCCGCTCTCTCACTCTTGGTTTGGATGCTGTGGGAACTATGACCCGTCACTCTTGGTGCCTTCCTTTCCTGGAGGGGCCTACCACATCTTGCTGAGGAATCCCAGGGAGGGCAGGTACCCACCCCACAGGCCTTGTCTGGACCATGGAGCCAGGTAGAACCTGCCTGTCTGGCCCCCTCGGTTTTTACTCCACGGCAGCCAGTACCCCTTCCCACCACCGCCTGCCCACTTTTCTCAATAAAATCTGAGTGGTGACAGGCCTCCGCAGGAATACTTTGTGGAAAGTGGCTAGACAGGCTGCATAGGGCACACAGTAATCACGTGTCACGTAGGTAGGTGCAAAGGGGCATAGGTTAGACCAGGCAATGGCAGGAAACAAGCTCCAGGCTCCCCAGCTTGGGCTCATCTCTGCTCTTTTTGTACTCTGATGTGTAGATGTTCTAAAGCCCAAGAGCAAGGGTCCTCTGAGGTTCAGTTTGGATCCCCAGTTCTAGGCTACAAGCTGTCTTCCTCCCAGGGGGCTGAACTGTGGCTTCCTTGGGCTTCCTAAGCTCTTGAGTAGGAGGCTGTGTTGGGATCCAAGACTAACAGTCTGAACACTGGTCCTAAAGGACCTTGGGTAACTCATCTTCTCTGGGCATCAGTTTCCTTTCCTCAAAACGACGGTATGGGACCAGATGAGTGAGTTTGAAGGCCCTTCCCACCCCTGTGTGCTCTTATTATAGGACACAGTTGCAACCCTGATGAGAAGTTTTATTGCTAAAGTCAGTGAGGGTTTATTGAGTCCCCAAACACCAGTTCCTTAAACCACTCCAACAACTGCTGCGAAAGTCACTGTGAAGAGACCCTGGCTAGAGGATGGTGGAGCCAGGTGGGATGTGGCAGGTCACAGATGGCTCGCAGGCTGTATGCCTTTAACTCCTTTTGTTCCAGATTCTAGCCAGAAGCCCTGGGGCCTGGCTCTTGCCTCTTATGAGGTGCCCTTGGGGGCCCTAGGCAAGGGAAGGCCAGTGGTGTGGCTTCCCTCAGCCTAGCCAAGGCCTTTTCCTTTACCTGGCTTCACTTGTCCCTAAATGCTATCCCCAAATTTCAAATAGCAAAATTTCTGGGCTGCTCCTCCTCAGCCCAGAGTCACTTATGGCTGGAATATGGGACCACCTCTTCTACCAGAAGGTCCAGGGTGGTTGCAGCAGCTCAAAGGTGGGGATGCTGGTGACATTGACTGGGATGGAAATGATGGCCCATGGCAGCCCATGCTGTTCCAGCGAGCGGCGGATCATGTAGCTGGGAGGGCATGAAGAAAGGTGGCCATGGTCACTTTCTTGGCATCCTGTCATGCCCCACTGTCCCCACCACTCTGGGAATTCCAAAGCCCAGGAACTTTTTTGCCCTTCATCTGAGGCACCCCAAGATGAGGCCCATTGGAAGGGACTGGTGATTACCCTTGACCTCCCCAAGTAATGGCACCCAACCTGGTGCTGACACAGCCAGAGACAAGGAGCCCTCACCCATCTCGGCCGAGCAGGAAGAGGGCAGGGATGTCAGCTGTGCGCTGGGTACTGTCCTGGATCATCTCCACGTAGAAGCTGTCATTGTCAACTGCATTGTCAGAGATGATCACTGCCCGCCCGCCATGCTCCTGTACCACTCGGGTCTTGGAGAGGAAGGAACAGCCCCTGGAAAAGGTGGTGATGAGACCAAAGGAAAGGCAGGTCCTAGCTACTCTCCCCCAGACCATCACCCTGGGAGTATGGAAGGAGGACTATGAAGAATTTGTTCTAAAGCTTGTAAGTAAATAGCCCAAAGTATGGATAACCTTAAGACATTTCTTAAAGACCCTTAAAAGTATGAATCATTCAAAAACAGCAATTTCAAAGCACCACCACCACCGATAACCTCAGAATCTGCCCATGCCTGCCCACTCTTTACCCCCTTTCCACCAGAGCGATCTGGTCCTGGATGAAGAAGCCGTTGCTGAGTTCCCCGCAGGCCTCTGGAGGTTCAGCAGGGACAAGGTGAATCTGCTCATACCTTGTGTGCTGAAAAACGTTTAGACATTTTGAGGTGAGAGTGTAAGGAGACACATCAGCTTTAGGACTGGGCTGAGAATCCCATCTTATTGGCACCTCATAAAGTGTGAAGGAAATGTGGAGTGGTTTCTGTGTTGCCAGGCACTTGAGCATTTTTACTTAATTCTCACAAAGGCCTATCTGGTTGTCCTACCTTACCCTGCCTTTTCATGAAATAGGTAGGGGAATTGGTTATAGACCCAGAAAGGGGAAGTGACTTGCCTTAAGTCACATAGTTCAGAGCTAAAGCTGGCAAAAGAAACTGGTGCCCTTGATATTTCATTATTTCATGTCACCCAAGGAGACAGCTTGTCCTTCCACTGTGCCCAGGTCTATATTATACCCAGGGGAGTAGCTGGAAGTGCTTCCTTTCTGCAGTGCAGCTCCTGGAGGACAGCTGGATTCTCCTCCCTTGCCTGTCTCAGCACTCAGGTGGGATGAGAGGGGAAGGGGGAGATTGAGGATCAGAGATCAGGGGCCTCTCTGAACTTACAAAGATACCACCGAAGTCTTTGGCAGGTGTGGCTGTGAAGATGTATCGAATGTCCCCAGGACTCAGCACTTGAAAGTATAAATAATCATGGATGCGGAAGCCTGAAAGATAAAGAGTACAGGTGAGAAGCCTCCTGAGAACAAGCTGGTTCATGTGCAGATCACAGACCTGTGTCTTCAACTGGGCTGGCTATAATCTGGGTACAGGGCCCCAGCTTCAGCTGGTTGGACTCCCCCGGTAGGTGGGATAGATGGTCTTTGCCCTGGGGAGGATAGAATTGATGCAGACAGAGTTAGTAACCCCAGAGGTTTAGAGCACCAGCTGCTGCATACATAGGTGAGCCAGGAAGACTGAGGCTCTAGAGTTAATCCATTTTTGCTCCAAAGACCTGGGAGTTTCAGGTTAGAGATGTAGTGGCCCCAGTACAAAACAGTTCTCTCAAAAACTTAAAAGTTGATTTTCTAGTCCCACTGCCATATCTCTAGTCCAGTCACTATCATCTCTTCCTGACTGTTCAGCTTCTTTTTTTTTTTTTTTTTTTTTTTTTTTGAGACAGAGTCTCACTTTGTTGCCCTGGTTAGAGTGAGTGCCGTGGCGTCCGCCTAGCTCACAGCAACCTCAAACTCCTGGGCTCAAGCAATCCTCCTGCCTCAGCCTCCCAAGTAGCTGGGACTACAGGCATGCGCCACCATGCCCGGCTAATTTTTTGTATATTTTTTTTAGTTGGTCAATTAATTTCTTTCTATTTTTAGTAGAGACGGGGTCTCAATCAGGCTGGTTTCGAACTCCCGACCTTGAGCAATCCGCCCGCCTCGGCCTCCCAGAGTGCTAGAATTACAGGCGTGAGCCACCATGCCCGGCCTGTTCAGCTTCTTAACTGGTCTACCTGCCTCCATTCTTGCTCACTAAGGTCCATTCCACAAACAACAACTTGAGATCTTAAAACATCTTAGCAATTATAATCATATCACCATGCTCAGGGCATCAATAGCTTTCAATGACTTCCCTTTGCACTTAAAATCTAAACTTTAGGGGTGGCCTACAAGGCCTTCCTTGATCTGGCCTCTGGCCACTACTACAATCTAATCTTCCTATGGTCAAGCTGCACTGGCCGCCTTTCAGTTCCTTCATTTCTCTGGGTCTAACTGCAAGCTGTTCCCTCTACCTGGAAGGCTCCCTACTCCCACCCTCCTGCCACCACTTTACCTGGCTCACTCGTAGTCATCTTTCAGATCATAGCTTAAATGTCACTTTCTCAGAGAAAGCTTCTGCCTCATGATTGCCCTCCCCTAAACCCGTTCAAATGTACTATTCAGTTGATAGTTCAACATAATTGATTATTATTCAGGATTCACAATTGTTTAATGTCTTATCTCTTCCACTAGGGCAAGGATCTTAAGTTTGTAGCTTCATTCAATACTGAATCTCCAGAGCCTAGCATAGTGGCTACAATATAGCGGGTGCTCAATAAAGGTTGAATGAATAAATAACTGTCCAGCTCCACTGTACTGAGGAAGAGAGTTACCAGAAGAACTAGATTTTTCTGAAGGTATGGAAACTTCAGCACCAGAGTTTAACGTTTTAACTGGACTTGAGTCCTGGTTTCCTTAGCCCAGAGAGACTGAGGAATGTTGAAGGATAAAAGCTGCTGCCACAGGTCCATTAGTCAATCAACAAACTACTGAGCCACTACTATGTGCTAGGCTTGGGCATGGTTGTGGCTTTAGCTGTCCTTGTTTACTGTCCAAATCACAGCCACCAAGTAGAGCTCCACTGACTTAGCTATATAGACTTTTGTCCTCGAAGTGGGGCTCCCCATCAGATACACCCCCTGGAAGCCTTCCTGGATTAGTGGTAAACTTACCCTTCTCCCCCCACACATCCTTGCTTGCCTTTGCATGTGCTTATCTGTATAAATTGTGGTATGTCTGCTTGTGTAGGTGCAACCGGTTTGGGGTACTTGTGTGAACCCACGTGTAGGAATGTGTGCTTCTGTATATGTATATGAATGTTCACATACATATCTCTAGCTTGTAGCATCTTTAGTTGTTCCTTGTGCCTCCTCCTGGTCTTACCCTAAGTCACCTGGGTAGGTGCTAATGGGTAGAGAGGCGGGGGAGGTTCGGGGACCTGCTTGAACGTGGGAAGCTGCGGACTCAGAGCTTAGCCTCAGGCTGCGCCCAGCTTATGTCCCTGGGGGCCAGCACCCACTCACTCCAGCCGTCCGTCCCCAGACCAGTCCTGCTCTGAACTCGCGGGATCCCCAAGGTGACCCATGGCCCCCAGCCCGAGACACGCGAAAGCTGGACGGCCAGCCCCGCCCCGCAGCGTAGCCCCGCCCGTTGCCGCTCACCGTGGGCTGCGACGCACGCGGGGAGCCAGAACACGAGACAACACCAGCCCGCGGCGCCGGGGACCATCTCCAGGGCCCGGCCCGGCGCAGCGTCTCCTCCCGCCGTCCCCGAGCGTCGCTCGCCGGACTTTAGCCTGACAGCTGCTCCGGCCTCCCGCCCACATACCCGCTCTCGCCGCTGGTTGGACAACGGGAACGAGACCCACGGCTGATTGGCTCTGACGCCTGCTCATTTAGCTACACTTTCCGCCTCTGCGCCTTAGCCCACTTCCTATTGGTCGAGACAAGTAGGGCCGAGGGCTGATTGGTCTAAACTCTGGCTACTACTGGCCCGCACTTCAGCCCCGCCTCTGCTTGTCTCAGTTTGGATTCGACTCTCGGGTACCTCCCCAGCTATGGGCGGGCGGTTGCGGAAGGAGCGGGAGCTGGCCGTAGGCGCCCCGCAGGACTCGCTTCAGCAATCAAAAGTCCTGGCGGTCAGCTCCTGTGGTCTAGCCGGATCCTCCCCGAGGGCGCCTCGTCTGACGATTTGCCTCCTCTCACCCCCTCCTCGGGAAGGCATCCGTCTAGCCCGGCGGTCCTCCGCCCAGTTCCAGCGGCGCTGGCCGCGGTCTGAGGCATGCCACCCGCGGGTAGGCTCTGGCCACTACAGAGCTAGAAAACCGGCATTGAGGCCGGCTTCCCACGCCCGCTTCGCTAGCACTTACTGTGTAACTGTGACGTGGACACCTTTCTTAACCTCTCCGCCTCGGTTCCCTCATCAGTAAAATGGACATGATGATAGTACCAGCAGAATAGGGTTGTGAGGATTAAATCAGATCACTCACGAAAAGTGCCTATTTAGCATAAGTCTGTCTCACAGTTGGCATTTAATAAACGTTTGTCTTTACTGCTTTCCTTGGTCTGACGTCCGTGGGTAGAGGGAATGGAGTCAAGGTTCGTGGGTGACGGGATCGAGGGAGCAAGGACCCTACAGGCTCAAAGACAAAAGCAAGACCGAAACGCCACAACCCCGCGATAACTAGCACCTCTCGCTAGAGCGTCCAGGCCCAGACACTGGCTCTTCTGGCCAAGGCCCAGCCTCTGGCTCTTCTAGCCACAGCGACTCTGTGGTAGCGAACCATAGAGTGGCGGAAGTGGCCTGTCTGCTTCCTCTCTGGGTGCAACGGCTTGGCGAAGCTTCTGGGGATTTCTGTAGCGCGGGGCATTGTGGGTTGCTGGGCGGCCCCGATAGAAAGAGGCAAGGAAGAGTAGTGCGGGTCCCTGAATAAGCTTCCAAAATGATGGTGAGTGGGGTCTCGCGTATCCGCCGCCATCCGCGGCCATCTGGGTCGTGGCCGGCACCGCCCGGCTGGCGTCGGCTCTTTAGGACCCTTTTCCGTCTATCGCCTCTGTCCTCGCCCCGACCTCCGCTTGTGGGCGACCCCGGCTCGCCGCGGCCCGGCTGGACCCTAGCACCGAGCAGGAGCGGTTGGCGAGGGCTGTTTGGGGCTCGAGGGAGAGCTGTGGTCGGGCCGGTTGGGTACTGCAAGTCAGAGGGTGCTTTAGGGCCGAGAATCCCCCTCCAGTCGGAACCTGGGTAAAACGAGTGAGGGTTGAGCGTGCTTACGAGGTCGGTGGCCAGACTTGGAAGCGCGGGCTGTCCTGGGAAATGCGGACCGTGAAAACATGTGCTTGCTAGAATGGGCAGAGGCAGCATGGGAACCTTGTGGTTGTTCACTGTCCCCAAACCCGCCCGCCTTCCGCCGCTGCATGCAGGGAAACAGACACTTCCGCTAGTGTTCACTCACGGGTGCAGTCGTGAAGTAAACGCCTAGTGAGTGCCTGCTGAACGCACTAGGCCCTGCTGGTGTCTGGGGATGCAGTCTCAGCCAGGAGAATGGGCAGGATAGATGGGGACACTGGATCAGAGGTGGAAAGACCCGGGCTCTGACTCCGTTGACATTAGATAGGCTTTTCTAGTTGGCTACCTAACTCTGGGTGTCGTTTTCTTAAAGTTGGAGCTGAGGGGTTGGGGAGTTGCTGTGAATCTTGGAAGCTCCTAAAGGGCTTTTTTTTTTTTTTTTTTTTTTTGAGACAGAGTCTCGCTTGTTGCCCAGGCTAGAGTGAGTGCCGTGGCGTCAGCCTAGCTCATAGCAACCTCAAACTCCTGGGCTCAAGCAATCCTGCTGCCTCAGCCTCCCAAGTAGCTGGGACTACAGGCATGCACCACCATGCCTGGCTAATTTTTATATATATATTAGTTGGCCAAGTAATTTCTTTCTATTTTATAGTAGAGACGGGGTCTCGCTCTTGCTCAGGCTGGTTTCGAACTCCTGACCTTGAGCAATCCGCCCGCCTCAGCCTCCCAGAGAGCTAGGATTACAGGCTTGAGCCACCGCGCCGGGCTTAAAGGGCTTTTGTAAGCTCTGCTCTCCCCACCCCCCTCAGAGCTGCAGATACATTCCGTGAGTCCCAAGCCTCAGTGGTATCTCCTGGGTTGCTAGTGAGTAGGGCCAACTCTAAAGAGTTGTTTGATGACAAAACCCTGACCAATATATTGCGTACTTGGCAGTTCACTTATCCATATTGTCCTATCAGTACGACTCAGTTCTCTGTTCTTTTCACGCATCTTGCAGCTTTTCCCTGTCTTGATAGATGTCATTCCTTCTCCTATCAAATGCCATGTGAATTCAATTTGTACACAGGGTGGAAGGAACTTGGCATTTATCTGTACTCCCTCTCCCCTTTATCCCTCTAGCACTGTCCTTTTTCAGTCCATCTTCAGCATTACCTATTCAGTAGAAATCCTCTTCATCTTCTGTGCAGAAGCAGCATGGTATAGTAATTGAGAGTCAGGGCTTTGAAGCCACAATGAGTGCCTGGGTTTGTAACATGTAATATGCCTAGCATGTAGTAAGCACTCCGCAATACTAGCACTTATTCTGCTAAGTGGTTGCTTGCTTTCTTTCACACCTACAGTCCAGCCAGCTCCCAAGGCTTTCATAAGAGCTTTGGTTGGCATTCCAAGGAACTGGAGCAGAACCAAGATTTTTCTGTGTGGTGATAAAACCCTTCACAGAGGGGCTCCACACCACAACACTTGGATTTTCCCAAAACTGACTCCCGCCCTGTCAGATTGACTCTGTTTCTCTGTTGTATCAGCTGTTTCTGTGTCTTCCCCATTTTGCAGTGTGAAACTCCTATCATCAAGAGTCCTCCTGTCATCAGATTGGTCCCCGATATTCTAGAAGCCTTCTGTGATTGAAAGAGAGGTTAAAAGGTCCCCCAAAACTTCAGTCCTGTGACTTTGGTATAGCTTGTACAGAGTGTATATCCTTGCCTTTGTTTGTTGAACACTATGTGCCTTGGCATATACATGTCTGGTCTTGTTTTGTAGAACATCAAGCTTAATAATGCTGGGTAAAAATTTTAAAGTAGGATGAAGAGGAAGATCATGAAGCTGAAATTCCAAAGCCTTCCATGATACCCCTGGCAGATTATTGGATTCTGCTGTTCTTTACTTGAGTAATAAAAATGAGTGAGATTGAATGTAACTGAGGGACAGAAGCTGGGCTTGCTGTATCAGTGCCTGCTGCTGAGGATCTGTTAGAGGAGGGCCCAGCCTGCCGTTTCTACAGAGCCTACAAAGCATAGGGGACATAGGGACTATGGAGTCAGCTGCTTCCAAGCCCTTCTTGCTGGGTACTTAAGAATTGCCAGTAAATTTAGTGTCACCATACTGCCAGTGCTTTTCCAAAAAAATCAAAAGCCAATGCTATCTTATTTCATGGTTTACTTTGAAGTAACAGTTAAATTTTCAGCTGCTGAACATTGCTTCATGTTCAAATTGCCAAATCTTGGCTCTCTACAGATCAAATTAACTGTGGTCCTTGCCTTTGGGAAACCTGTACTTAAAGATGATGATGGTGATACAAAGGTTGTGAGCAGGGAAAAGCGAAGAGAAAGTCATGAGATCACCTGTTCAGGATCACCTGTTCAGGGTACAGTGTTTACTGCAGTAGATAAAACTTCTCAGAAGTGTTGGGGTTCTGAGGAATTGCTGGCCTGGTGGTAAGAAAATGGTTTTGGTAGAAATGATGTGGTGGCTCTTGTAGATGAGGGTACAATTTGCAGGTGGAGGTAAGAAAAAGTATACAGAAGCATTGAATAAGCCTGTTGAAGAGATGGAAGAACCTGTTGAAGGTGATAGGAAGGGATTGAGACTCAAATTGGGTTGGGTTTTTTTTGTTTTTTTTTTGAGACAGAGTCTCGCTTTGTTGCCCAGGCTACAGTGAGTGCCGTGGCGTCAGCCTAGCTCACAGCAACCTCAAACTCCTGGGCTCAAGTGATCCTACTGCCTCAGCCTCCCAAGTAGCTGGGACTACAGGCATGCGCCACCATGCCAGGCTAATTTTTTCATATATATATATATTAGTTGGCCAATTAATTTCTTTCTATTTTTATAGTAGAGACAGGGTCTTGCTCAGGCTGGTTTTGAACTCCTGACCTTGAGCAATCTGCCCGCCTCAGCCTCCCAGAATGCTAGGATTACAGGCGTGAGCTACCGCACCAGGCCTCAAGTTGGTTTTTTATTTAAGTTATAAGACTCCATCCAGGGCAGGGGTGGACCAAAGAAGACTTGAGACTGCCATAAGGAATGGTTTAGCAGGACTGGGTGATGGGGAAGCCTTTCAGGAGACACATTTTTCCCTTACAGAAGGCACCAGGGACTGGGCCAACTGAAGGGCCTGAAAGAATGCTGGGAGGATAGAGAAGTCATTTCTTATCACCAGACCTGGCACACTCCAGGAATAGGAAGGAATTTTCTCTCCAACCCATGCCTGATCCCAGATTTTGGGGGTTATATGACAAGCATTCTTTAAAAAAAAAAAATTTAATGAGTAATAAGTGATTATTTGAAATCATTTAAAAATGTACTGAGTAATATGTTAAATTATCTCTATTCTCTTATTCCTTAGAGTTTGCAGGGCATCTTTCTAGCCCATTTTTATACATTCACATATTATGTGTTGCCTCTTACCCATTTTCTATGGTGATTTTTGTTTTAATGTAAATCACAGTATGGCATCCCTCTGCTGAAAGTTTTTCCAGGGCTATCTTTTTTTGTAGGAATGAAATATAAATTCCTTTCCATACATAGTCTATCTACAAGTGGGTATGTGATCTAGTTCCTGCCTACCTCTTTAGCTTTATTCCAGTCTTCCACTTGCTCATTACTGTATAGCTACCCTGGCCAGAGGAGTTGGACTTTTTAAGGAATTATGTAGTACAGAGTTAGTCTCATGGGTTGCTAGACTGTGTTTTTAGTATATGAATTCCTCACTTGTTACTGTTAGCCCAGGACACCCCGGTGCTTTCCTGTACCTTCCCTGCTCAGATCGCTTAAGTACCCCAGGGGTAGACTGGTGCAGTGGCTTTGAAACTTCATTGCATTTCATACTAAATAAATAAATTTTAAGCCATAGCCTAGTAATACACATTTAAATAACACAATACAAGTTTTGAAATAGTATTTACCTTCACTATATTCTGTTTCACACACAAAATTAGTCAGAAACACTTGGAAAGACTGGATCTGGTTCATGATCTCATTTCTGAAGGCTCAGGCTTAGATGCAGGGAGAAAGAACTCTGGTTTGCTAAGTTGAGAAATAACTCTCTGCTAATGGTCCTTAGAGC